CCTCACTCCAGTCAGAATGGCAACTATTATGAAGACAAAAAACAATAATTGTTGGCGAGGATGTGGGGGAAAAAGGCACACTCATACATTGCTGGTGGGACTGCAAATTGGTGCAGCCAATATGGAAAGCAGTATGGAGATTCCATGGAAATCTTGACCCAGCTATTCCACTCCTCAGTCTATACCCAAAGGACTTAAAAACAGCATACTACAGAGACACAGCCACATCAATGTTTATTGCAGCACAATTCACAATAGCTAAACTATGGATCCAACCTAGATGCCCTTCAACAGATGAATGGGTAAACAAAATGTGGCATATATACACAATGGAATATTACTCAGCAATAAAAGTGAATAAAATCATGGCATTTGCAGGTAAATGGATAGAGTTAGAGAAGATAATGCTAAGTGAAGTTAGCCAATCCCAAATAACCAAATGCCAAATGTTTTCTTTGATATAAGGAGGCTGAGTCATGGTGAGGTAGGGAGAGGGAGCATGGGAGGAATAGACGAACTCTAGATAGGGCAGGGGGGTTGGAAGGGAAGAGACAGGGCATGGAGTTATAAATGTTGGTAGAATGTGATGATCATTATTATTTAAAGTAGTGCATGTATGAAGACAAGAATTGGTGTGAATATACTTTGTATAAAACCAGAGATATGAAAATTTGTGCTCTATATGACTAATAAGATTTGTAATGCATTCTGCTGTCACATATAAATAAAAAAAATTAAAAAAAAAAACACATCAAGAAGATAAGAGTGCTTGCCTAGCATGTGTGAAGCACTGGGTTCGATTCTCAGCACCACCTAATAAAATAAAGTTAAAAACCAGAAGTGGGGGGGCTGGGGATGTGGCTCAAGTGGTAGCGCGCTCACCTGGCATGTGCGGGACGCTGGGTTCAATCCTTAGCACCACATAAAAATAAAATAAAGATGTTGTGTCCACTGAAAACTAAAACTAAATGTTAAAAAAAAAACAGAAGTGGGGGTGATGGTCAGAGACAATAAGTAAAGAATCAGGGATGCTATGGAATGCTGTTTCCCTATTTTTAAAAAATCTGCCTGTGAAAATTTGTTTTTTCTATGGAAAAGTAGACTAATCCCTAGTCATAAGCAAACAGTAGGAAATATGAGCACATTATTAGGTACCTTTCTACAACAGAATTTCCATCGAATACCCTAGGTTTGTCCTTTGATCAGAGGCACTATTCTGTTCCTTTCCCCATCCCCAAAGGTCAGGATTACCTACAATGATTCTCCAAAGGCTTGTGCACATTTAAACAAGGATCCATGGAATTTAGTCTGTAATTTTTATAGAGCCCAGGTCACATCCATTTACTTTGTGACAGGTTAACCTTCTGCTGTCAAACCTCCCTGGAATTGGAAACACAAGAACTATTTCAATTTCATATTAGAAATCAAAGATATTGGTGCTAGTCTAACTCCTTCATTAATAACCATGAATTTGGGGAAACAAATTAGCCTCTTTTCCCCCCATTTGAAAAAATAATGATCTTAGATTCAAATCTCTTTCCCACACAATACACATACCTAGAAAGTGTTAAGTGCACAGCCTCACATTAAGGAAAAAGATTAATCAACAAATGGTGCTAGAAGCAAGCTGTTTAAAAAAAAAAAAACATGAATTGAGATTCAAACCTCATGCCATATGCCAATATAACTCCAGCTGAATAAGGGTACATGTGGTTAAAAAAATTCATACTTAAAAGTAGAAGAAAATATATACTTGAATGGTCTAATCTCCAGATGGTAAACATTTTGTGAATTTAAAAAGAATGAAAGAAATTGCAAAGGGAAGCATTGAGAAACTTTCTACATGAGAAAGGAGAAACAATACAGGTAGAAATTTAAACAAACTTAAAAGGAAAATGCAAACTGAGAAAAATTCAAGAAGAAAAAAATGATGTACACCCTTGCCCCAATTTGAAAGCATCTCTCTTATTTCTTGAGAAAAGAGGAGGCAAAGGGTAAACTCCGGCCCACTAACCAGAGGGGAAGAGGAGTAAATGAGTGGCCCTGAGACCACCTGAGGGCTCCATGCCCAATCAGAGGGTTGTTGCTCAAGGCCTAAGGAACCCTATTGCTTCCACTCTATAAATTAAACAACTCCACGGGGAAGGCAGAACAAGGCCCTTCCTCTCATTTTGTAGATGAGAAACACTGAGGCCCAGAGAAGCTAAGCAAGTCTGCAAAGTCTTAACAAGTGCTTAAGTGCTAAAACCAATCCTAGAACCCAGCTGGGGTTCTGCCTCAGCACAGTCACCTGAAATGAGGAAGCTGGATGAGATCCCTGGTTCCCCAAGTGCAGTGCTCACAAGAGCAGCCCCAGCCTCCCAGGGGAACTTGACAGAAATGAAATTCTCAGTCCCTGCCCAGACCCAGGGAAGCCTGACCTCTGGCATGGGACCCAGCCATCTGTTGTGACAAGCCCTCCTGCTGCTTCTTTCCACATGCAAGTGTGGAGAGTGACAGATTCCATGACTGCTAATGGCCCTTCCAGACCTCACACATGTACATGTAACTGTAAGCATTCATCTCCAGGGCATTTTGTGCAAAACCACAAGGTCTCCTTGACCTAGAACTAAAAGGTAAAGAATAAATCAAATAAAAACTGGAGTTTGTGTTAACGGGAGGCAAAATACTCCCTTCTCTCCCTTTGGTTGAATTTATGCCTATTGTGTCTGTTAAAGCTGCCTGTCTGCAGTCAGGTGCATATTGTACTCTACATGAGGCTTTCTTCCTTGGCTCTGTGTGAAGAGAGGAGCAATGAGCTCCCCTCCAAAAAGCAATCTGGAGAAAATAGTCATAGAGTATGAAGATGACAGGACCTTCTTTCCAATCTTGAGATACGAGAAAAAGAAAAATTTACATGCTCTCATTAATGATATTTAATGGTATTATGTTTCTAAAATGCAATATATGAAATATGTTGTTTTGTATTATCTTCAAAAACTAAGCTGGGCGCAGTGGCAAATGCCTGTAATCCCATTAGCTTGGGAGGCTGAAGCAGGAGGATCAGGAGTTCGAAGCCAGCCTCTGCAAAAGCAAGGCACTAAGCAACTCAGTGAGACCCTGTCTCTAAATAAAATACAAAATAGGGCTGGGGATGTGGCTCAGTGGTTGAGTGCCCCTGAGTTCAATCCTCAGTACCAAAATATAATAATAATATTAGTGTTTCAAAACACTTTTTATAGAATGAGAATAAAATTGATTTCTCCATAATTTCAGAATTACTTACAATTGAAATCGTAAGTAGGTCTTGATATCAATAAGAAGTCTTGGTCTGTTACCTCAGAAACATCCTGGAAATCCTGCCCATTTGATGTCTGTCATACTTAGCTCTTAAGAGATGACCTTTTATTTTTCATTCTCTGGAGGCATGAAGTGAATTTGGCAGGATTCATTAAGCCTCATCCAATACCTGTCGTTTACTACCTCATCAACACTCAGTTCTGAATGCATCTACTTCAACTTTGTCCATTATTTTCTAAATAGTTTTAACCATGTTAAACCACACAAAAATCTTATCAGTCTCAGAAAGTTTTAACTACTTTTTCTTTTAATTATTTTTAGTTGTAGATGGACACAATATATTTATTTTTATGTGGTGCTGAGGATAGAACACATGTGAGACAGGCACTCTACCACTGAGCCACAGCCACAGCCCAGTTTTAACTACTTTTGAGGTCTGGATTATACAACATTTTTATGACTATCCCTACTTGCATGAGCCATTATGACCAGGTGGAAATCAGTGAACTACTTATTGTAAACATGCCTCAGGGTTACTTCCATGTTAAACAACTATATTTTTGTCAATAATCATCAAATCAAAAGGACAGGACTGGTGTGGACATAAAGGGTTTCCCTTTAGGCTAAGGCTTCAAAGAAAAGGTACGGGATGCTCAATAGTCCTAGAAACTAAGGCCCTTGATCATTCATTGGACATAGGGCATGTCAATCTTCTCTTTTCAGCAAATGAGCTTAGAGCGTGTCACAAGGGGCCGCAACCCTTTGTTGACAGTTCTGAACCCGCCTCATCACCTTCCGTTGGGAAGTTTTCATTCTTATTGGGGGATCTTCTGAGGCTCAGACTTGGTTGACAACTCCTGGGGCCTGGGATTGACCCCCTGCCCTTCGAGTAGTGAGGCCTCGTCAGGCACCACCCACAGACTGCTGTCTTCTTGGAAAGAGGCTTCTTTGCCCCCTCTTTCCCCTCCCCTCTGTGGCAGCCTGCTAGACAGCCACCATCTTTGCTGTCAAAGTTGCCCCACTCCGATCGCAGCTCAGTTGAGGTACCGATTGGTGTCATGTCTGCCACAAGGAATAGAAAACGTACCCGAGAGGGCCAAAACAGGCGGGTAAGCCCAATGGGAGAGTGGATGGGGCTGTTGGAGTGGGTGAAGGGATGGACCGCGACTTGGGCCCAGATGTGGGTGACATGGCACCTGAGGCCATCAAAGCCCAGGTGACTGGGCCTGGGGTGGTGGAGGTCCCAGAGCCCAAGGGAGGCCCCAAGGAGGAAGAGGGAGCCCAGGCCCCAATCCTACCCAGAGCCTGGGAGGGTGGGGATGCGGAGGAATACTTGGATGTTGGGCCAACAGAGGAGGAGGGAGGGGACCTGGCAGAGAGCCAGGATATCGTAGTGGACACCTGTCAGTTGCTCATGCTTGGCTTCTGGTGCATGTTCCTGGATCTGGATCATTCACTTCTGCACCACATCTACTACAATTACCATACCCTGCTCCAGTCCCTTCGCAGCCAAGTGAACCAGCGATCCCGATCCCGCTCAGCTGTGTTAAGCAACTCAAATAAGCGCCAGGTGATGCAGATGCCCCAGAGACGAAGAACGAGGGCCATGACTCAGATGATCCAAGGCGAGAGCCAGGGCCTGGGCCTGGGCCTGGGCCTGGGCCAGGGCCAGGGCCAGGGCCTGGGCCTGGGCCAGGGCCTGGGCCTGGGCCTGGGCCAGGGCCTGGGCCTGGGCCTGGGCCTGGGCCTGGGCCTGGGCCTGGGCCTGGGCTTTAGCCTGAGATTGAGTCTGAGCCAGCTGGACACAACCGCCTCTATCCCAGTGGCCCAGCACACAACACAAAGCAGCATAGCAATTCAGGATCCAGAACAGCAGGCAGAAGAGGTGGTGGAGAAAGAACAGGCGGAGGAGATCACCGCACAAATCACCGATGTGAGAGGTGAGGAAATGGTGGACCCACAGCTGCAGAGGCGCTAGCTGGTGAGGCAAAATGGGAAAGCACTGACCTTGGGTAGGGAAGTGGTGGGTCCTGACCTCCTCCAAATTAAGGCCGAATGTGCCAGGTTAGAAGCCCAATTCAAAGCAACCTTTGCAGTTTTTTTAAAAAAAAAAATATGCTGTCCTTTACCAACCTGTATTTTATAAGAGTTGGGACTGTCAATGCGATTTGCCAGCAGACAGATGAATGTCAGGTGTTCAGGAGGGAGCTCGGGAGGAAATGGAAAGAACCCTGGAGGAAAAGAAATAGCAAAGGGTGCACTTCCTCTTTGGTTCACAGCTTTTGAAAGTGAAAAGGGTCTTAGAAAGTTGAGCCTAAAAATGATTTGGGAGCACTTGGTTAAAAAGACAGGTTCTGGGGTTAAGGAAACAATTGGCTTCACTGCAGAATTTGTCTTTGAGACAAACAAGTATTTTCCCAACAAAGTTCTGACCAAAACATTGAAAATGCAAACTGACCCAATCACTCTGACCCTTTCTTCCCTAAAGGAGAAGTAATCAGCAGCATTAGGAGGGAGATTTCCTGGGAAGAGGGGAACATGTCACTGTGAAAATGATTAAACAGAAGAAATATGAGGGCCATGGAAGGGTGATGTCAACCAGCAGGAAGGTGCCTGGCCATGTTTTCTTAGCTACTTCTTCTTGCTTCTCCTGAGGGGAGATGATTGGTGCTGCTGCTGGGTATGAATTGGGCTAGTTTTTCCATCTGATCTCACTGTTTGTATTATTCTTCACCAAAGAAATAACTAAATATGAGTATGAACACCTGAATGAAGACAATGAAGACTTTGTCATTAAGAAAGAGATGAAAACAGAGGAAGAAAATAAGAAGGAAAATGAAAAACAAGGAGGACTTGAATAGGAACCTGATCTGGTAGATAGCAACCCCAGAAAATTCAGGTATCTGTGTATAGCTTTGGGTATCACTCAAAAAATCCTGACATTTATCTGTTACTAACAGCTTTAAATTTTTAAAATTCTAGTAAATTAATTAAGTTTATTTAAAATTACATAAAAACTCAATTTAACTTACTAAGAATGTTACTAGAATAATCATGTAGCTAGTAATATAAAATATAGTACGTTCTGAAAAGTACTTCATGGCTATTCATCTGTTCTTGTAGGATCGTTTGTACTCTAGCTGTAAGACTACTATCAAGTGGTAAATATATCAGACTTAGTACCTGAGACCAATATCCATTAAGGAAATTTACCAGAAGCAGCAGCTAAAGTGGCTGGGCCAGGCACTAGTGGGGTCTTCATTACTTGGCCATTTAAATGGAGTTTCCTATACTAAATAGGATGCAACAGCTTACAGAATGTGACTACTAACAAATAGCAAAAGTTATGAATTTCAAGTAGGACCATATTTAATGGTTAATATCTAAATATGCATTTTGCTAGAATTTTTTTATATTTTATGTCAGTCAAAAGAAAGGAAACTTACAGTTCATAATTTATGACTGAGTTGATAATTAAGTCTTAAGGTATATGTCTTTCAGCATATTTAGATGCTCAACATTTTTCTCTTCTGTTTTTGCATTTTCATAGTTGTGTATTTTATAACAGCCTCTTTCTCACAGGGTACATGTGGAAACCAAGGATCTGGGAGGGTAAAGGAATACCATTTGTGGTACCACTAGAGGTTTAAGAGATTTATTTAAATTCCAGAATGGCCACTCAAACAAAAACACTACAAAACGTGCGTGCACACACACATACAACACAATTTTTGATGTTAGGCACAAAGGAAACAAGGTTGGTATGATCACATGATTGAAGCCATCAGTTTGACAAACACTCTGATATCCAAGCATGCACACTTTAAGAGGAAAACGTGTTCTCTACTTGATATATAGCACACAAATGCAGAAAATATACATAGGAATGTTACACTTAGAAAATCATGGGTGCTGGTTAATGTTGTGTAACTGTTTATTTTTTGTCATTTCATCCTGCAGTTAGGAGGAATAAAAAGAAGATAGAAAAGAAGAAAGAATCTGTTGTTCACTGTTTTTAGGTTTTTCATTATTCAGAAGCCCGTGGGAATTGTAACACTGATATTTTAATGTTCATCATCCTAAAAGTGATATTCTATGAAAAATACCTTTTTCTTACCTGTTGCAGTTATATTTAATGATGCTTAATAAAGTTAAAAGAAGGGTTTGTTTGAAATCAATAAAGAGAAATACGGGCAGATTTTGTTTCCACAAACAATCCTGACTCAAATCTCTTTTATTTCTTCATTTTGGGCCCCTTACCCTATTGAAAGGTAAACCTGTTTAAACTTGTTTTACTTTGGCCAAAAACAAGTTTAAAATGAAGTTTAAAATAATTTTGGTAAAGAGAAAGATGGAGGACAAGCCTTTAGAGCTCTGTTGCCCATTAGTTTAGTCACTAGCCATCTGTAGCTACTAAACATGAAATTTTACTAATCTGATTTGATATTTGCAGTAGTTGTAAAAAATAGTGTAGCATATCTTATTAATAATTTTAATATTGATGACATGTTGAAATGATCATATATTTAATTAAAATACAGTTTTGAAACTTTGCCAGTTTATTTTCTAATGTGTCTACTAGAAGATTGAAAGTTCCATATGTGGATTTCATTATATGTCTACTAAACAATCCTGGTCTAGTGAATAGTTTTGAAGGAAATTTCATGAATGGCCCAGGTTGTCTGGAGGCCACATGGTGCTACTGAGCCTGAGCCCAGACTTTGACTTGGAGCAGTAGTTTTTAAAGTTTGTTCCCTAAATAGCATCATCATATTACCTAGGAATTCTTAAGCTCCACCTAGGATCTACTGATTCATAAACCCACAGAGTGAGGCCAGCCATCTGTGTTTTAAACAGCCCTCCAAGGGATTCTGATGCACAGTAATGTTTGAGAACCACAGGCTCATAACAACAGAGGAAGCATCTGAGACTCACCTAAACTAAGACCAGCCTTAATTCACTGTCTTGGAACTGTTGCAAGTAAACTGAATGGGATGGCATGGACTAGACTAAAAGGAGACACAGGGGCAAAGATTGGGTGATAGCAACAGAAAAATGCATAAGAGAAGAAGCTAGTTCCAGAAGGATGTAAACATGATATCATATATGTAAAGCCTAGGAAAACACAAATGATATATAGAGAGACTAAAAGGCATGCATGTGAGAGATGCATACAAATGTAGCATACAGAAAGGTGTGTTTTGAAAAGATAAACACATTTAAGATGGGAAAGGGAGGGATTTTTCTGTGGAGAATTCCATGGTAGATATCACCCCTATTGTAGTTTTACATTTTGTAAGCTGAGTGGTAGATACAGAGATATTAGTAGCATTTTCTATAATTTTATGTAGTTCTTAAATACTACCAAAGTAGTAGAAGGGGAGCAGCTCTTCCTACACTAGTGGGGCAGGACTTAAGGAAGTCCTAGAATTCTAAATCCTATAATGGCCTCATGTCATTGTAAAGGTACATTTGTCACAGAAGAAGATAAACCATAAGTAAAACATGTTATATGAGTTGATTTAAACTTGGATCTCCAAATGAATTCCTGTCCTCATGAAGCCAGATTTAAAGATAGGTAATCAGTGTAGCTAGGTAAATTGAATTAGGTCGGATCTAGAAGGCCAATTTGAGTGAGTTTGGGAAGTTGGAGACTGTCCCTTGAGGGATCTTATCAAGTACCTGTCCCTGCTCCAACCTGTTGCCAAGGTTACCTGTCTGTCCCAGGAATTGCCCCCCCCCGCCCTTACAGAGAGCTATAAGGTTGTTAATGTGTCCTTGTCTACTCCACCTTGCCCTTCCTCCTTTAGCCCATGTATTTCCCACCTTTCGGCCATCCCACCAAGCATTCCTGGGCCTACTCACATATGCAGGAAGGAGAAAGATAAGGGGGGAAAGGCAGAACAAAGGAATCCTAGGACATATAAAAAGGGCAGAACACCTAGCCTCTTGGGATACCAGGATACCAGCTATGGTCCCCTTCTCCCTCCCGGAAGAAGTCCATGTTGCCCCTTTTTAAATAAACCCTGCTTCATATGTTTGCCTCAGCGTGCCTCTCTAATGTTCAAACTTCAACATGTGGGAAAGCAGGACTCGTCATGGATAACCAGCGGTATCACTAACCAAGTTAAATATCTGGCTGGCTAGGCTAAATATGTGATCTAATACTCTTTTTCTCTCCCTCACTACATGCTTCACCTTGTTGTCTGAGCACAGTGGCCCCATGCTTCCAAAAATATTGGGTTCTAGGAGTTCATCTTGCAATAAGACTTAGAACTAGTTCCTGAGTGAGACTGGAGGACAACCGCCAATAATTATGTCCCTTCTACTCACTGTCAGAGGGAGACAAGATAACCAGCCAAGCCAGAAGCTATCTGAATTTGAAAGTGACAAGTTGTTTTTTTTTTTCTTTTTGGTCTCAAAGAAGTTCTATACAATTTATATTTTAAATGTAAGCCTAGGAGAGAGAGAAATCTAGCAAAAGCTAAGAAAACAATAGAGATGCCTTTTTTTGGATCCTAGCTGTCCCATATTTTAGACCCAGCTATAAAGTCATATTCCTCACCTTCCTTTGACTGCTACATAGCCTCAGGAGCATTCCCCCATCTGATCAATGAAGAGAAGTTCCCCTGTGTCCAGTCCCTGATTGGGCCCTGTTCAGATGCCAACTGTCAAAGCCTCACCCTTCTTTGACTGCCATAGCCGTTAATTTAGGAACCTGATGTGGGGTGATGAGGGGATGAAGAAAAGACAAAGAAAATAAAAGGTGGTGCTAGGTGATTCAGCTAAGCCCTGGTGAGGCTTGACTGGCACCAGAGCTAGCTCAGCACATTTGTTTAATAGATTTTAGGTTGTGGCTCAGCGGTAGAGTGCTCATCTAGCACGAGGCACTAGGTTCGATCCTCAGCACCACATAAAAATAAATAAAGGCATTGTGTCCAACTACAACTAAAAACAATATTTTTTTTAAAAAAGTTTATTTGTGGGAAAGTTTCAGCAAAGCAGGCAATCTGAAGGATACAGAACTGGTGAGACATCAGGATCGTCTTGTTTTGCTCAGAATCCTCTATCCCTGGGAGTTGGTATCTGAACTCAAGGCCTTGATTGATAACTCTGGCCTTTGTACAAAGTTTTCTTGGGCTGGCATCACCATAACAACTGGGGAATCTTGATCTCTACCTTCACACAGGCAGCTCCTGGCACAACTGTAGACACAAGAGAGTCAGAGGCCATGATTGGATTCATTGCTCTCCACAACTCACCCTTTACTCATCTCTCTCTTTCCTCCCCAACTATTCATACACAAAACTTCTTTAGTAGCAGTATTTCCTTATACCAGTGCCCAACTAAAGGCCACAGGCTTGGTCAGGTGCAACTCTGTAGAGGCCCTTTATGTGAAGCAAAACCTCTTAAGAACACCTTAAATCCTTTGAATACCTTCAGGTCTCAGTTGTCAAGATCCTATTTGACTTCCCTCCCCAAGTCACATACAAACAGAGACATACTACAGAACAGGTTCTGTTGTATTTGTTTGTGGTTGCTATTACAAAGATCAAGGAAGCTATAAAGAATCTGAAAACATGTCAGAATGTGCCTTTTGTCATTAAAAAATAAACAATTGAAGAACTGAACTTTGTTAACTGGAAAATAAATTATTATATTTTTCTCCTTCCTTTTTTTGGGGGGAAAGGGGGTACCAGGGATTGAACACAGGGCACTTAACCACTGAGCTACATCCCCAGCCCTTTTTTATTTTTTTTTTATATTGAGACAGGGTCTCGCTAAGTTGCTTAGGGCCTCACTAAGTTACTGAGGCTGGCTTTCAACTTGCGATCCTCCTGCCTCAGCCTCCCAAGTCACTGGGATTATAGGCATGTGCCACCAAACCAGGCTGAAAAAGAAATCATTAATGGAGAGTTCACAGAGTGAGAATTACCTAATAGAAGTCCACTCTGAGAAAAGAGGGAAGGGAAGTGTAACAGAATGGGTAAAGGGCATCTACCTAAATGAACTGTTTACAATGGGAATACAAAGGGAATAAAATCCAGTCAATCGAAAACCTGGTCTTATTGCTCCAACTTGAGGCCTTAAAAAAGGAAGAACAAACTATTTCCAAAATCAGTAGAAGACTGAATATAATTAAGATCAGAGCCAAAATTAATAAAATTGAGAATTAAAAAAAAAATACACAGGGTCAATGTAGAGTTAATTCTTCAAAAAAATTGATAAACCATTAGCTAAACTAACCAAAAGCAAGAAGACTCAAAAAAGCAAAATTAGAGATTAAAAAGGAGATATCACCACAGACACTTCTAAAATCCAGAATATCATTAGAAAGTATTTTATTTATTTATTTATTTATTTATTTAGGGTGCTGGGAATTGAACCTATGGACACTTTACCACTAAGCCACATAAAAATAAATAAAGGCATTGTGTCCAACTACTCAGTCCTTTTTAATATTTATTTAGAGACAGGGTCTTGGTGAGTTGCTTAGGACCTTGCTAAGTTGCTGAGGCAGGCTTTGAACTTGTGATCCTCCTGCCTCAGTCTCCACAGCCACTAAGATTACAGGTGTGTACCACTGTGCCTGGATGTTTTTAAAATGTATTCTCCAGTAAACTGCAAAATACAAAAGACATTGACAAATTTGTAGACACATATGACCTGCCCAAACTGAATCAGGAAGTTACTGAAAACCTAAACAGACAAATATCAAGAAATGAAATTGAAACAGCAATTAATAGCCTTCCAACAAAGAAAAATCTCAGGAATAGACGAATTCTCAGGTGAGTTGTAGTGAAGTTTTAAAGAACACCAAAATTTCTCATATATGAAATTGAGCACTCCCTAATACACTCTAAGAAGCCAGTCTAACCCCAATACCAAAACCAGATAAAGATACATCATAGAAAGAATACTACAGACCAATATACCTAATAAACATATATGCAAAAATCCTTAATAAAATATTAGCAAACTGGGGCTGGAGATGTGGCTCAACCGGTAGCACACTCGCCTGGCATGCATGCAGCCAGGGTTCGATCCCCAGCACCACATACAAACAAAGATGTTGTGTCCGCCGAAAACTAAAAAATAAAAATATTAAAATTCTCTCTCTCTCTCTCTCTCTGTTCTCTCTCTCTCTCTCTCTCTCTCTCTCTCTCTCTTTAAAAAAATATTAGCAAA